CACTCCCGAAGTGTATAAAATGCTATATAAATAATGAAACACTGAACCCTGTCTTGACCGTCACTTGACCCCCAGGTCTTTGACATGGCATACACTTTACAATGAATCTGTCTTGTATTCGAGCTACCCGACATTTTTTTGCTTATTGATTTAAAAATACTTTGAAGCATGCAAGCGGCTTTCATCTGTATACGACATTTGAAAAACAAAATCAATATCAAAAGAAATTTAAATGTCTTCTGGACATGTGCTGCCTCCAAAGCCTACTATATAAATATATAAATTTGTAGTCCTCCATAACGGTTTAAGATGTCCTTGATATCTTTAATATCTGAAGTCTGGTATATGTAGTTCTGATGACAAGGAAATATAATGAGACAGATTTTAAGTGACTCGTGTAACGAAACAACCTTGTTTTCATTAATGTAAACCCTGTAGGCCTAGAAATGGGATACTTAACAAGCTTGAATCAATTTACTTCAAATATTAAAAAATACTTGTGTTCATTGTATGTGGAAGAACGTGTGCCTTTGAGGTGCCTAAATTATCCCAATCTATTTTTGTCCTATTAAACAATTTCTAAGCTCATATTACTTCCTTTATATTCTTGTCCGACTCATGTTACAATTGCCAACCCTTGCCAAAACTGCTACATGTGTACCTGACTTGCATGTATCAATATGATACTCATGCTCAAAACATTTTTTTTCTGAAAAGCTTCACACACAAGCTAGTATAAGAGGACTTACGTACCCTGTGTCTTTTATTTCATAGATAATCATCTAGGGAATGACATTATTGAAGCAGTTTGAAGACGTGATAGTTAAAGAACTGGTTTTATTATTGCCCGTAACTCCTGGGATCATCGAAGCGAGACTTGCAAAGTGTACACATGCACTATTGAATACAGATTGTTTTGTGATATGAGCCACTTAAATCCGTTTTATTATGTTTTCCTGACTTGAGAACTACAAAAATATATGCATTTAAAGTACATACAAAAAGGGATTTTCCTACGAAAGACGAATAGGGCCACATAAAAAAATATTTTTATCTCGTAATTACGAGAAAAGATCTCGTTATAACGAGAAAAGATCTCGTTATTACGAGTTAATTATCTCGTAATTACGAGATCTTTTCTCGTAATTACGAGATAATTAACTCGTAATAACGAGATCTTTTCTCGTTATGAAGAGATCTTTTCTCGTAATTACGAGATAAAAATATTTTTACGAGTTAATTATCTCGTTATAACGAGAAAATATCTCGTTATTACGAGTTATTTATCTCGAAATTACGAGTTAATTATCTCGTTATAACGAGAAAAGATCTCGTAATTACGAGAAAAGATCTCGTAAATTACGAGTTAATTTCATTGTAATTACTCTTTTCTCGTTATTACGAGAAAAGATCTATAAAAAATGGTGCGTTTCATTGTTCTACTCTTTTTTCGTTATAACGAGATAATTAACTCGTAATAACGAGATCTTTCCTCGTTATTACGAGATCTTTTCTCGTAATTACGAGATAAAAATATTTTTTTTATGTGGCCCTATTCGGCTTTCGTATTTTCATGGTCCATACTGATAATTTTTCAATTTTTATTTAGATTGAAGTTTTGATGGGGACTTATTTTGGGTAAAATTAAAAAGAGCAATATGTAAATTTAAGTGTATCAAAATTCATATTTCTAACAATGAAATCTTCCATTTTTCAACAAATTATGTTGGTTTGTCAAGCATAAAGTTCTCAACTTAACAAGTATCTTTCCTTTAGTTATAAGGGCGTCTATTTTAAAAGAACAGGTAATTTTATTTTGAAAAGGAAGAAAAAACATTTTTTGTAATAATTTTTGAATTGATCTGCGTTACATGTAAGTTTGTTAAGTATACTTAAAGTTAGTTATCAGATAGATTACCCGTTATGATGATTTCTCCGCTTGTGTAGCTATAATAAAAGTTATAACAAGAATTAGGCGTCTTACTTATATACATTGTATCAGTTTGTTGAATACGACATAAACTGCACGAGTTTTTCAAAAAGCCTCTTTTTTAAAAAAAAAAAAAAAAAAGGAGGACTGCACTTAAAACCGGGGATTTAGTTTTTTCAGTAACTTATGTTGCTTTTATATCTTATCTTAACCTTATTACCCTTAATTTTCTATATATTTCATGCTCAACGCATGAACAGCCTCCAAAACGAGGTAAGTTATTGACAAACAAGTTGATGAAACAAGAATATTAGACGTCCCGTTTAAAAGCAACATTTCATATGTTCTATAATTGATACAATGACCTTGTGTGCAAATACAGTCTATCAATAATTATTTAAGTCAAATGCTGACTGGCGTTTTTTTTTTTTTTTTTTTTTTTTTTTTTTTTAGTTCTTTATTTACACATTGAATTGACGCCGTAGTTTTCCGTTATTTCCCGATCATGGCAAGGAGCAACGGCGGGTGTCAACGATCGGCAGGGGATGCTCACTCCTCCATGGCACCTGATTCCACCTCTGATGTTTCACAGGTACGCGTTTGCTCTGCTCTGCTCCTAACTTGTATTGGTTAATTAATGGGCTTGAGAATGTTTTAGTGAGTGTCAGTGAGACACGCTACTTACAGGTCACATTACGTGTCGAAATCTTACTTGTGCTAGGGAATTGCATGGTTAATTATATTCAGTATGTTACAGTCCTTTATAACAACAGGTCGAGGATATGAGAACAGACAGTTTTTCCTCTCCTTTTAACCCTAAAGCGCATGTTTGTTTATTACTGGTATTTTTCTTTTATTTTTTTCAAAAGTTCCTGCATGTTTCATTTAATTTATCACAATGTTCCTCTAAAGACATACATTCTAGTGTTTTTTTTCTCTCCATTTTTAGTATGGAATATATATCATCTGAAATGATTTCTTTCAAAGAAGCAAAATATTAGGGCACAACCCTGACTATGAAATTTTCATTTTTGGTTCTTTTTACTTTTATTATATAAAAAAGAGATATGACTACAAATGTTCTGTGACCGAATTTCTAACGATTTAAATTTGAAATCAAGGAAATGTATGAGAATCCATTTGAATTTATTAAATGCAGATTTTGATACAATGTGCCTTTTAGTAAAGAAAAATATTATAGAAGTCCCTAAGTTTTCTAACAACACTGGATCCTGGAAAGGTATGCATGGATCTATGAACGTTCTTCTCTGCAGATTATACTTTGAAGCAGTAAAGATGGAGCCATTCATGTGTCATATGCATGAGTGACATTGAGTGTATAATTATTTATAAACCTCCGCAAGTAATTGTTGGAACTTTTACTGGTAAATTTAACACAAGAATTCCACTTAAAAGTCTACTTTTATTTAAATTCATATTTATTTAAAAGGTTTTTTTTTTAAGAGTTTAGTTCAAATATTGCTGCAAAACGTTTGTTGTCAGAAGAAACCTTTGTGGCCCTTTAAAGGTAAAGGAAAACTTCAGAATTTCAAATGAGAAAATCTATACCGCTGGGATTGCTTTTAGTCATATCGATTTACGTTCCGGGTGTTGATTTCAGGCCAAATGCACAAAAAGTTTCATTTAAATCGTTTAGATTTTAAGTCAGTGTATTTTTTTTATCAGTTGTACCTGAAATAATGATGATGAACAACTAATAAAAATGAAATCCTATTTAAGATACTGTGTACCCCTACGGATTATATACCTGACCTGACCTGAACTAACCTCATTGACCTCCGAGGTGTTACTGTAGCACGTCATAATAGCTCAGTCGGTTAGTGTGTTCGCTACATTTTGTATATCCGTGATCGGGAGGTCATGGGACGCGACGGACATAAGTCGATAATTCTAAATCAAGGTAACAACTATTCCTTCAGGAAGAGCTCGAAGATGTGGGGATTTTGGATGGGCTCATAGAAATCCTGGCCCCGTATTATGAGAGACGATGGTGTATTAACGGAAAAGATCCCACACTGCTCATTAGTCAATCGCTCTTAGTGCCAAACAAATTTCTAAATTAAAGCATGATGACATCTCTGAGAAGAAACCCCTAAATTGTCATAAAACAATATCAATTAATAAATTGTATAATTATATTATTTGTGAGTGAAAATATATTTGACACAAATGAAACACAAATGTAATATTAACGAAATCACGTGATAAGTGCAGAAGCGTCCAGCTAGGTCCCACAATGCGGAAACTACTTTTAATGACAACTGTGAGTTTTCACAACTACGACCTATCTTGTGATCCTATTTATCAAATCAGATCAATTTTGTGTTTTTCTTTTTAAGAGTGTTGGGAAGAAAAGGTATATGAGTAATTGTCTTGTGAACAATAAACATATTCATTGCAAGTGATAAGAATTGTGTATCATTTAATACAAATCCCAGTACTAAGCAATTAAGGGGCTGCAGTATTCAGAGTGATTATGCTGAGGATATGCAATTAGTAGGCATAGAAAAGATGGCAGAAGAGTGTACAATGGCTGGCTTAATTTCTTAGGTATCAATTTAATCACATATGTATGAGATTACTATCCACTGCAGTGCATCACAAAGGAGAACTCCTGTTTAAGTGTATATTGAATGAACGGATCTTGTCCTGAAACTGGGATATCGTTCAACTTGATTGCAGTATAGTTACATGTACAAAGAATTTACCATGTGCAATCTTTTTTATATCTTTACCACAAGAACAAACATGATTGAGAATACAATTGAAGGACAAAAAGTATATGAAAAATAAAACAAACTATCGGGTACATAGAAAAGGCGAGAAAACACTTTAAGTGAGACAAAGGGGGAATCAGCCATGTCTCTTAATGAAAATCAATAATACGAGTTAGTTATTCAGTCATCTGATCTAAACTTTGAGAGTAAATCTGACCGAAATTCATGCAAAATAGTGAATAGACGGGAAAATGCTGTATAAGCAATATCTTAAATAATATACCGTGGTAATTAATGTTTCAGTAAAAGGCTGCAAAATTAATTCCAGTACGAACAAAGAAAAAACATTTTATTGATTAAATTTATATCTGTACAAATAATTATATAAAGTACAGGATTTAAAAAGATGACATATTGTATCATTGATATGTATATAATTGTGTTTTTCGTTATGGAACAGTTCAGACTGAAAAAAAATCCGAAGGGATGACATGCTTATAGCGCTGATTCCTGTCTGATAAATTGCAATGATTTTTTGAATAAATAATGAGGATATATATACTATTCAGATGATGTAAACATTCAACTGTGAACATGATATGTTTTAGACTTCAAAAGTTTCAAATGCAAATTTGAATTATAATAATGACATTATAGGTAGAAGATACAATACAGAAATTTACAAAGGAGCTCAACCGAGGAATGAGAGATAAAAAGGCTGCTGCTCTGTATGAAAGATTAAATATATAGGGATTTTTATTCAAGATAGAATGTACAAAATTGACTACCTTCTGCTATGAAAAGAAACCTTTATAAACAGTCGAGAGACCTGTTAAAACAAACGAAATAATCAGGAAAAAACTTCAGATGGTAGGTATTTGGTAAATGTATTAAAAACAAAAAGACAAACAATACTGAATAATTCATTAAATGGAAATGAAAGTAGTACTGCAACATACATGGACAGAGCAAAAAAAAAAACCCGACAGAGATCCTACCTCTCTGATTGATTGTAACCCTTAAAGAGACAAAGACACAGTTTCAGTTATAAATTTTCAAATTATTTTTCTATTTTTTACAAATATTTGACTAAAAGTTTTTCTAATGATGATCAAAAATTTGAATTTCGGTTGTCGGGATACAAGACAGATTTAGAGCTCCAAACCTTTGTTATCTAAACAGGGTCCGTGTCATGTTTTTGTTTACACATTTGTATACATACGTAATAATTATATTGTTAAATATACTAAATAAATATATGTTCATTCAAAGCAAATATTTTCAATAAAGAAGTTAATTCTAAATAAGATTAGACAGTTTCTAGTGATTTGCTGAACTCCTTTTTGTTATAAATTTATTCTTCTATATGTAAACAAACACAAGGCACGAGCCTTGTTTACATTATGAAGATCTTTCTGTATCTCGTTTGTTAATCAACAAATGATGTTCAAATTTTTGCTTATCATTAGATGATGCATTAGTTAGGAATTGTAAGCATTAAAATTGGTTTAAAAAATCAGCTGAAACTGTGTCCATTTCCCTTTAAGGCATGCTGATCATTTATACATATTCTACACAATCTATACATTTCAAGTAGCAGATTTACAGAAAAAGTATAGGAAAGGGTTTTTTTTGTAAATGATTTTAAAAAACTTGATTTTACGATTATGTTCGACGGGGTTTCATTCACTGAACTTTAAAAAGCACAATTTTAAAAAATCGGCAAGTTGGATTTTGGTAGTTGTTTCACTCGAACATTTCATTCAAATCAGCATTCACCATGAGAAAAATAGCGTTGCATGATGGTTCCTTTCGGCCGCTCAGGCTTCCCATTAGTCCTATCCAAAATGTCACATATCTGGCACATTGAGTTTAAAAATACCTCATGAATACCAATTTCATAATATTTGTCTTTTTCTTTAAGGTACTGCGTAAACAAAGTTTCATTGGAGGCTATTTCTTTGATTTTCTCTGCCAAGGCCTTCGGCGAAGGAAAATCCAAAGCACTTATAAAAGAACCTTTAGGTAAATACTCAGGTGCTGTTGATGGGCCGTTTATAACGGGTACCATATTAAGATTTTCCAAATACATGTTGTAAGTTTTCTCCGTGGTATAATCTTCACATATATTATTTTCGAAAGAAAAATAAAATTTATAGTCTCGAGAAAAGTTTCGCAAACACTCTGTTATAAATGGCGTTCGAATTAAGCATTCACCATTTCCACACGTCCCAAACATATCAATATCTAGATACTTTTTCAGTTCTTTTATGCGATTTCGTCGATTAGATGGCACAGGACAGTGTCCGGACATCCAGACACCTAATTTCTTCTTCTTTCTGAACACTTCTGAATAATCCTTGTCTAAAGGTTTACTCCGCTTGATTAGGGTCCCATATGGCCTATAGATGTCCGACTTCCTACGGTATGACATTAACCAATCTAATTTAGCTTCAAAATTTTTTGAGGGCCTCGACATGAACGCAGTGTTCTCCATTGTGTTAAAAACCCACATTTGGTTGGGTTTTTTAGGAGGCGGGTTTCCTCCCATGGTAGAATGTGTAAACAATACAACGTCACTTTTATGTATATCTGCTGAATTCTTTGAAAACAAGCAGTTAGGATGCTTTTTACATTTCTTAGCGTTGGCATAATTAAAACTATCCACTAGATAAAAAGGTATATTGTACCACAATATTCTATATTCCTTTTTGCTTTCCTGGGATGAGTTGTAACTTGTCGGACTAATAGTAGATATTTTGTCCCTTTTTTGGTTCGCTGAGGGTCCCTGATAAATTGGCGTTTTATCTATTACTTCTGTGCTCGTAAACAGTTCAAACAAGAGGAAGAAAAATCCTGTTGATATGAAGAATACAATGAAGACCCGCACGGAAAGTTCCATTTGTGGAGCCCTGAAAAGATATCAAAGTTGTTGTTAAACACAAAATGTTTCATATTTCTTTTCAGCAATTCCTTAATATTAACGAAAGGGCATATAGATATGATAAGTCAATGAGTCAAAATCATTTGTTTCTTTTAAGATATCAGTATAAATATACTGCGAAAGATTTATGAAAATTATGAGTATATAGCGAATAAATGACAACTTAACTGTACATAAAATCAAGAAAAGACTGCACAATATACGTGCAAGAAAAAAAATGTATCTTCCGTTTCAGGTTTTTTTCGTGTATGTCAATGTCACGCACATACAATAGGGAGGAAGAAGTACAGGAATATTTTCATGCTGGCCTGGGGAATACTGAAATTATTTTTACTTTTATTTTTCTCCATAAAAATATTTTTTAGCATCTGAAACCTGTAATTTTCTGAAACCTAATACTTTCAGGAATGGAACAAAATGTACACGGGTCATGCAAAAACTTTACAATTTCCCCTTTGTGTGTCACGGTGTGTCTTTCATATTTTCATACAAATAACTGAAAATATGTTTTTTATAACAAAGGCTTTCGTATTTTATCGTCAGAATACGATGGGTACAACACGATATCAGGTAAACTCCGCAATAGTGTATTCTAATCAATATCTTGCCACAGATGGATATGGTGTAGACGACAGCTCACTCTTCTAATTTCAGTGCAAATCATTGCCCTTTCATAAAAAATATAGCTTATCTTTATCTTTGACTACATCCCCGAGAATCTATATGTTGAATAGAGATACATCAAATAGGTTCAGCTTGAACAGTAGTCAAGCTTATCATTTCACTGGAATATGTCGAATCAACATAGAATATGAACCCGATTTATATTGTTAATTGATAAATCTCTATGTCGAATGCATTTATTTTGACTTGGCCGTGAGCCTCTTTATGACTTGCTCTCCTTTAAATGACCTTATCAACCGTCCTCGCTGTTGTCTCTTTAATATCTCTTTGAAAGTGAAGTGTTTTAAATAGAGAATAATACATACCCTTTTCCATATCACATCCTTTATGAGCCCGAGACACCAATATCAGCCAGAGGGCCGAAGGCCCGAGGGCTGATTTTGGTTGAGGGCTGATACAGGATGTGATGTGGAAAAGGGTATGTATTACATGTATTATGTTTATTACATATTTAGTAATATAATACAGCACACATTAATCAAGTTGAGAACAAAATAAGTAAATAATCATAGATGGACTTCTTACATACATGTACATGGTCTATTGTCTCATATGGTTTGGGATTGTTTCTACTTCTATTTCAATGCACTTAATCCATAATATGAAAATAATCTATTTATTTGTAAATTAGATTATCCTTATTTTCAAAAAGTCAAAATTCAGGAGGAATGCCACGCCAACTTTTTATTTTATAAATCTCTGAGTCAACCTATTTAAACAATGGTTTCAGCATTGAAAGGCCGACATTAACTCTTAATTATCTTATATGATTCTTTTTGTATTTTTTCAAAGAAAATTCCAAAAATTATTTACGTCCAAATTAAATGCTTTCTTGTAAAAATTTTGCTGTAAATGAATGCATCACATGAATATCTAATAAATTATGTAAAGAAAAGCCGTATAGATATTAAATCTTTTTAAATAAAAAATTATTTATGAAAATAAAACACATAATTTGTGAATATTTTTTAAACTTGTGGTTAAAATCTTCTTAAAACCAGTCACAACTGGGGAGAACATGTTCATTTATCATATTTATAAAAGAAATTGAAACGAAATAGCCAAATTTTAGAGAATTTAATTTTTTTTATTGATTTTGGACAATCCAGATCAAATTTAAACCGATCCCAACCATAATTGTACAATTATTGGAAATAAATAACTTTTCCCCAAGAACACTAGTCTGATTAGATGTTATAAGGGTTAAAACATTATTGAACCTGACAATAAAATAGATTTCTTCATTGTAAATACATGAAAAGGCAATAAATTATTTTATTCAGTTTGTATTAATTTTGATCGGGATCAGTTTAATTTTGATCGGGTTAGGTCCAAATATTAAAAAAATTAATTTCTCTAAAATTTCTCAATTTCGTTTCAATTTCTTTTAAAAATATGATTGACAAACATGTACTTAGTTGTGACTAGTTTTATGGTGTTTTTAACCATAGGTTTAAAAAATGTTCACAAATAATGTGTTTTATTTTCATAAATAATTTTTTATTTAAAAAATTTAAAAGTCTAACCAGCCTTTCTTTACATATTTTATAAGATATTCATATGATGCATTCGTTTACAGCAAACTTTTAACTCGAAAACAACTTATTTGGATATAAATATTTTTTTTTCATTTTCTTTGAAAAAATATTAAAAAAAATAATAATAATATAAAATAATTAAGAGCTAATATCGGCCTTTCAACATGTTCAATGCTGAAACCATTGTTTAAAAAGGATGACTCAAAGATCTATAAAATAAAAAGTTGGTGTGGCATTCCACCTTAAGAACGTAGAAGTCGTCAATGATTGTATCACTAATCTCACTCAAAATCTGGTGGACCCTTCAGACTCATAATCAACTGACTTGCACATTCTCTCGATGACCATTCATTCCATCGGGCTACTTCTTCAATTTGCATGAAAAATTCTGTAATTTCACAAATATCATCAAATGAAGGGGTTTTTATTTCCTTACGTTTATTAGCAGAACCACTAATTACACTATCCCATCTTCTATCTGACCTTTGACCTCTAGATAGACTGGTATCTGAATAACAAACACTCAGATTGTAAATTTTTAAATCTCTCTTTCTCAGCTTTCGTTCTCTTAGAACATTCAGCAGTAAGATTTCCTATTTGTCTGTCTAATTCTCTCAAATTCAAAACTCTCTCTTGCTCAGTATCAAAACGAACGCTTCTGTTAGAGCGTGCTGGAGTAGATGTCTCAAAACCCCGACCATATCTTAAATCCTCTGATGACATTTCTAATTCAATTCTAATTAAACTAAGTATTTCAAAATAAAGTAGTTGAAAAAAAGATCGAAGTTTGAAATCCACAAGTGAAATGTTTTACAACATACCTCACTCTAAGCCCAAGCAAAAGTGAATTTATTTGTTTTACTAGACAATATAGATTTCAGCCAAGCCCGGGTCACTGAATAGGACTCACATCGTGTAGCACGTGTCTAAACAAGGCACTACCCACGACAATGAAAATCCTATCCTGGTCACGGTTCACCAAACAATGTAGCAGGTCTGGTGTTCTTATAGCCTGTATTTCGCGTTGTGTTTATTTTTTTGTTTTGAGACGACTTTCTGAACATAAGACCTCTACATTAGATTATACCTCGGAAATATTTTGTAAATTGAAACTGTCAAAAATCTTATTGGCCGAAAGATAAAAGTGGGCGTTTCTTAATAAAACATGGATAATTTACATCCAATCGCATCATCTCGGGTCTTTCCGTCAGAGGTCGGAAAAACAACCTCGAATGTATTAATATCACTGGATGTTAAAAATTTATACATTTCCTGTTTATTCAAATATAGGATAGACTGAGTTAGAAGTCCCTTCTGTAGTATGTTTTAGGTAATATCATTACATTGAATAAAGTTAAACTCCATATTCCACAGATAAATCGTCTCCATGCATTTATTTCAAAGATCGTGAAAAGGGAGGGTTGTAATGGCGTCTACCGTATACATTCGAGGTCGTTTTTCCGCTAGTCGGAAAGGCCCGAGAAGTTGCGATTGCCCTAATCTGCCACAAAACCAAGGTCCCGTGCAGCGTTTTTTCAAATATTGACAATTGTAATTAAGAGCAGATTTTATAATATAGTTCAAATTCACGTAGTTCATTTTACCATGACGATCAATTTCAAAAGATGACATAGGATTTTTGGAAGATATTTTCTTGAAGTTATGGGATTTGATGAAGTAGGGTATTGTTATATTCAGACTTTTGGATTGATTGATCTAATTTTTTTTTACGTCCTGTTCTTGATTTTTTATTTAAACAATATTTTATTATGTATGAATTTAATATAACAGGATTTGACAGCAGGTACTGCCTATACAGTGTATAAATCCTCTACATAAAACAAATTATCTTAAATTTTAGATGATGTACTTGAGTACGTGTATCTTCATTAATTAGCTTTGAAATGAAGCAACAACAACAAAGTTCACATTTGGTGCAAACATTTCTCGTGATCAGAGATAGTGCCATAAACCATATTCAACTTTTAATTTGAACAAGTTTCATCCACTTTTTAGCCCATTTAAGTAACGCCTCGGGGACTTTCAATATGAAATTTAATCAGTATTTGCATAGACATAGATCGAAAGTTCGTTTCAAGTAGGCATTTGAAAAGAACCTCTTGAAATAAAGAGGGGTCATCACTCAATTTTAAAGAAATTTAAAAATGAGTATTTCAATGTGAATAGGGCAGTCCATAAGAAATTGAATAGAAATACTTAATTAGCTCCTGTATGTTGGGAGGTTCCAGTTTGTGATTACACATGTGTGTTTTGATAGCAACACATGAGACAGATATGGAGATACGTGTAACGAACAGTTTTCAAGATCAAATGTCCACTAAACAATACAAATCAGGAGCAGAGCATATTCGGACCTCTAAAACATCAGAGATTGGATCAGGTGCCATGGAGGAGTGACCATCCCCTGCCGACCGGTCACAAATGGTAATGTATTCAAACCCATTAGAATGGACAGGGGGAAAAAATTCCATGTAAATGAGACCAATAATTGACGAGGTCATTGAAATGAAATAAAACATATTATCAATTGGTAGTTACATGTAACTTCTAAAGAAACTGGCTTTGAATTCATTCCAAGTGTTGTAGAGTTCTGTTTAAAATTAATGGCAGATTGGGTGTTACATTGACATTGTTAAAAGAATTTTCGTGTATATATATAATCCCATGCAGTCTTTTAATCCGTTAGTTAACCTTAAATCTACACGTGTAGATATTCTCATTGAAC